TTCTTCTTGGAAGTCATCCTCAACCCCTTCATGAATTTTGACATCACCCTGAACTTGGACTTGCTTCCCTTTGTCAGTCATTGTCACCTTGAGCCCGGTAGTCATTGAGTTGTCCACCTCGATATTTGGTGGAACGAAATCATTCTGTGGTGGTGGTCTGATCGTCGCACCAAGTATGACTGGGTACCTCCCCTGCCGTGCTTCGGCATTCTTACGTAGGAATCTCCTCCTTTGAGTCCTTGTCATCCCCCCAATGGCTACTGGTTGTTGACGACGCATGTCATAAGTGTGCCACCCTCCTTGTGGCACATTGGGCATCTTAAAAGTTCTCGCGGGAGGACTTCTAACGGGAGGACTTCGCATGGAAGGAATTCCATGTGCTATCCACTGCCTTCGTTGCCCCCAAGCTGGCTGGACGACCCCCTCCACTTGTCTCTGATAAGAAGGGTATCTCGGCCTGTTGGGTGGGCCAAGTCTTTGGTGGGCGGAAGGCCTCGCCTCATCAAGTTTGAGGCTCTTCTTGCACTGAGCACACAACTTCTCAATTTCATCTGTCATCATTGCGGCCGGGCTAGCCTGCTTTGTACCTGACGAGCTCCCTTGTTCATGAGTGACATTGGAGCTCCCATGTTGAGGTGGCGTTGTATCCAACACCAACTTGAAACGGGGCAACTCAATTTTGGAGAGATCCGGGTTAACCATGTTGATGCCTACCACGTTGGGAAATGGGTCAGTATCCACCAACATGGCATCCTTCTTTGGTTCCGGGAACTTGATACGCCCCTTCTCAATAGCATCCTGCAAGATATTACGGAAAATCACACATGAGTCAGTGGCATGTGACATGCTGTTATGCCACTTACAATACTTCTTTCCTTTTAATTTCTCGGGTGGTGGGATGTTATGCCCCCCTGTCAACTTGATTTGACCATCCTTGTAGAGTTGGTCAAAAATCAAGTCAGCTTTGGAGATATCGAAGGAATACCTCCGTGGCTGGATAGGGGCACGATTTGGTCTACCCCCTTGTGGTTCATTGTCCATCTTAGCCAAAGGAGCACATACATATGGCTTCCCTGGAGTTAACTCAGCCAGGTCTACCTCCACCTCATTGGCCTCTTGGCCAATATGGTTAACAGGGTAGCCAATGTTGGGGAAGTATTGCCCCCTTGAGGCACTCCTCCTATTCTCCTCTTCTTGAAGAAGAGATTCATATCTCACCGCACAAGACATGAGTTGGAACAAGTCAGAGAATTCTCTATCTTGGAATTTCTTCCTTAACTCAAAACTCAACCCCCCTTGTGCTAACTTGACAAACTCTCTCTCTGTCAAGTTGACGAAACAACGGTTACGAGCATTCTTAAAGTTTGTCAAGAAGTGCTCTACTGACTCCCCTGGCTCTTGGCGCATTCGTGCCAAATCAGCCATGGAAACCTCACGCTCAGATCTATAGAACTGAGCATGGAAGATTTGCTCCATCTGCTGCCATGTTTGGATGGAATTGGATGGCAAATTGACATACCAGGCAAAAGCAGGTCCTGTCAATGAGTTTCCAAATACTCTTAACTTAATAAAATCTCCCACATCCCCACACTGGACAGTAAAACGTCCAATGTGCTCCACAGTAGACTGGTCCCCTGTCCCAGTGAATGTGGCAAACTCGGGCACCCTAAACCCCCTTGGGAATGGGTAGAGTCTATCCACCCACTCAGGGTATGGTTTTCGATAAACAGGTGGCATGGTGGGTCTCACTCCCATGCCAAATTGCTCGGCAAGAAGTTGAGCCACCTGATCCCTTAGAGTGTTGGGATCATGCCCCCCTGGTTGCCCCCCTTGGGGTACGAAACCCATGGGGTCCATGCCATGCCCATTGAAATGGGGTGGCATGGGTGTTGGGTATGCTCTCGGAGGAACTTGATCCCCCCCACCTAAACCTACTCCCCCTCCCATGTGAGCAGGCACCGTATAGGGCCTTGCCATTGGTATGGGTATGGGTGGCGGTTCCACTGGAGCAGAATGTGTAACTCCCAAATTCTCACCACGTGGGGGAATTTCTCCAACTCCCACATTGGGTATCCCTTCCACTTGAGTAGTGGCAGGAATCTCGCCGCGATTCATGCGGTGAGGAGTTGGTTGGTTTGTCATCGGCGGAAAGAAGTTATCTTGCCGTGGCTGCCCACTTCCGCCGCCGGCGGGAGATGAACTTAAATTTCCGGAATTGCTATTAGGGTTTGAATTCCCGCCATCTAATGGCAGAGCTCTAGATTGGATTATTGGTGTGGTTAAAAATCTTCTAAACTCATCAAAATCACTTTTGTTCTTATTAACCACTTCAAATAATTGACTTAGACGTCTATCAACTCTAGAATTAAGACAGTCCATTTGAGAATTTACCTGATGAGAAGCAGCTCTAGCCTCCTCCATCATGCGGCGGTTCTCCACCATCATTTGGCGGTTCTCCTCTGTGGCTTGACGGTTCTCTGCCACCAGTTTGCGGTTCTCCTCCATCATTTGACGAAGAACCCCCACTGCTTCACCAATATCTCCACTTGGCGTCGCCGTTGGTAGGATCTCCGCCCCACCATTGTTTCCGGCCACCGCCTCTGACACTTGGCCATGTTCAATGTTGGCCACCTGCTCCTCCACAAAACCAGCCGGAGCGTCACCTTCTTGATTCCTCCGCCTCGGAGCCATCAAATCGAACACACGTGTCCCACCAGGCGTGCCAATTTGTTTTCCCGGCGAGAAAAACTAGATGAACAGAATTGGATTTTTGCACTTTTGACTTCCAAACAAACGATCAAACAACACAGTTCACACCTCTTTGAACAAAGTTCAAACAAGGGTGTTCAATGTTTAGATGAACTACGAGGCAAATCTACATTAAATTAGCCCTACTCCTATGGAGGTTCAGTGAGAGCTCCAAAAACTACGACTATGGCTAAAATCTGCAGAGGAAAAGATAAAAAGATAAAACTTGACAAGTGGTGTCGAGTTGTGATTTTTGCGAACCCTCTCTCTGTCATCTTCACCTCCTATTTATAGCCATCAGAAGTAACTGCCCCAAGAAACTGCTCTACTGACGTGGAGTGACGGTTACCCTCTCAACTGCTATGACGGTTACCCTGATGTTGGATGTGGGATTCTCTTCAGCCTTGACCCCTCCTCTTGAGACCTCACTTCATGCTCTTGACATCTCCTTCGTAGTTTTGCTTATCCATAGAGTAAAAATGGCTAAGGCATCAAGAAATACCATTTACCGCATATGGGTGGGTATTCAAATAACAGAAGTTAAAAATGGCAAAAAGTACTTCACCATTAGTAGAGTAAAGAGACCACCTCACATATGACCCCCCTGCCTTGGCCCTACCATGGGGGTGTACATTGGTGACCCTCTCACCATACCATTGGGGGCATCCTCCATGGGGGTCATATAGATCACCCCCGCCACTATATCATCCTCATGGGAGCCGCCACATATGGGGTCATGGGGGTGCTCCCTCCACCCTCATCAACTTCCATGTCATGGGGGTGGCGGTATGACGCCCACCCCCCTTGGTACATCCTGGGGGTGGTATGATGATGGCCACCCCCCTTGGTACATCCTGGGGGGTGGTATGATGCCCACCCCCTCGATACCTCCTGGGGGTGGTAGTATGATGCCCACCCCCCTCGATACCTCCTGGGGGTGGTATGATGGTGGCCACCCCCCTTCGATACCTCCTGGGGGTGGTGGTATGATGCCCACCCCCCTCGATACCTCCTGGGGGTGGTAGTATGATGCCCACCCCCCTCGATACCTCCTGGGGGTGGTATGATGGTGGCCACCCCCCTTCGATACCTCCTGGGGGTGGTGGTATGATGCCCACCCCCCTCGATACCTCCTGGGGGTGGTATGATGATGGCCACCCCCCTTCGATGCCACGTCCTGGGGGTGGTATGATGATGGCCACCCCCCTTGGTACCTCCTGGGGGTGGCTATCATTCTTCTTGCCTTAGCCAAATTCGGCCATAACCCCCCTCGCCTGGTCATGGGGGTGGTATGATGCCCACCCCTTGCCACGTCCTGGGGGTGGTGGTATAGCTCCCACCCCCTCTGCGTAGGGGTGGGCATTGGGTGGGTTGGGTGGATTTTGACCATAAAATGCACCCACCCGCGCTTAAACGGATTGATAATTTTTAACCCACCACCCACCCACATTTAGTCTCGGGTTGGGTCGGGCGGATGGTGGATGATGCGGGTGGGTTTGTGGGTTCACCCACATCACAATGTATATAATATAAATGATTCAACTTGACATGATAATAGGTGAAGAGAATCATCGAGGGAAACAAGAAGTTGAAATATGGCGAAAAATGTCGAATTAGTTCTTAAATTGGATAGAAATTCTATTATGAATGAGTTTTCTACAGTTGAGACGATTATTAGGTCCAAGGAACTAAGGAAAATAATTCCACAAAGGAAAGAGCGGTGATCTAGGCATAAGAATTAGAGGAAAAAATAAAGGGAAGAAGAGGGGATCTCTATTTGGAAGGTTGACTTTGAGGTTCAAACTCCAGGAGCAGTCCGAGTTTATATCTAACGTCTCCACTCTCCTCTCTCTAGCGCCAACGACTTTGATCTTTTTGCTGTTGGGTTGAGCGGGTCACCCGCACACTCACCCACAACCCACCCACCACCCGGCGGATGGCTCTCAGCGCAACCCGTCACCCACCCACAGACCCACCCACTTAATGAAATTCGGGTCAAATGCGGGTGGGTCGGCCCAAATCTGCGGATGATCCGCCCGCATGCCCAGCCCTACCTCTGCGTGTCATGGGGGTGGCTCCCATACTTAGCCAAATTTGGAGATACATGGCGTCATGGGGGTGGTACGGAATAATGGGCTCAAAAACCCAATATTCATGGCCCACTCAACTGATTTGAATTAATATGATCAAGTTGGCCTTATAAAGCCATTTAATTCATTGTTTTTAACCGATGTGGTACAAGGTTAATTTTTATGGGTAAACAAACAACAACAACAACAACAACAATCGGATCTTCGCCGGCGGCGGTAGAGAAGGTGGTGGAGGATGGACCCCCAAAACCGACGCGCGTAACGATCACCAACGGGCTCACGAGTCAACTGACGGTGCACTGCAAATCCAAAGACGACGACTTGGGAACGAAAGTGCTGCCGAATAACGCATCCTTCAGCTGGCATTTCACTCCCAGTGTTTTCTGGAACACGCTGTTCTTCTGTTCGTTCGATTGGGAGGGAAATACCGGCGGCCTGAAGCGGTTCGACATTTACGTGGAGAAGAGGGATCTGTTGCGCTGCCTCGACTGCAATTGGCTCATCAACCAGAGTGGACCTTGTTTGTACAATAAGGAGGCCAAAGCATATGATAAGTGTTATTCTTTTCGCAGTTAGCTCGTATCTTTGTCCCTTTTTTTTTTAATGTGTTAGTGAGCGAGTATAAGATCCGTTATTGAACCTCTCCCAACAAATCGAGTTATTGGAATGAACTGTTTATGACAATGGTATCAGAGCGTTACGTGACCGAGAGGTCTCATGTTCGAATTCTCGATGACCGGCCCATTTGTGCAGCACATGTATTCTCGTATTCATTTACATGTGTAAACGAAAGCCCTTATGAGTTGACTGACTTTCGTTTGAGGGGGGGGGGGGGGTGTCAGTGTGTTAGTGATTGATATAAGATGAATTATTGAACATCTTCGCCAACGACTCGACTTATTGAGTTCAACTAGTTTATGATATAAGAGATTGGGGTCAGGGTAGAGATGTAATAGCGTAATGAGGATTTCATTTGAGCGGGCATGTTTAGTTGGTATAGTATTACTTTTCTTTTATGTCTATGAAATCTGATTGATGTTAGTGGTAACATATTATATATCTATTTTTAGTTGTTTTTGTGAACCACAAGTCCATACTGGAGTGGGAAAAAAAGATTCAAACTCACCAATTAAACCAAAACTCATTACAAATACAAATTTGATTGTGACGCCAAACTTTGAATTCATATATTAGATTTTGATTTCAATGTGCAAGCTCTTACCCCTGTCCCTCCCTAATGACGCCAAAGGATAATAATTTTACTTTTTTTGTAGCTTATTCTGTGAGTTGGGTGTAGATGTCAAAGTCAGCACATTAATTTGCAGGTCATAAATTTCCAAATCATCTCATTAATTACTCGTATCAGTTAAATGAACTAACCACGTCATCACATTAATTTACACATCGTCTCATTAATTAATGGATTGGGTATAGGTATTGCTACAAAACTCCATTGTTTTGTATTACTCTTTGTTTTCATAACCGGACGCTGAACCGGAAAAGTTAGTGGTTTAGAATTCACTGGTTAACCGTTACTCCCTGTGTAATTACAATATGTAAAATAAAAATCCATTTCAACGTCTATTCACCCTCCAAATTTGAGATTCACTTCAAGTGGCGAGATAATTGGTGGAGAGTTATCGGGCAGAAACAAGATGGAATAGGAAGAAAGAATGCCGAATTAGTTCTGAAATTGGATAGAATCATAGAAATGATATCATGGAGGGGTTTTCTACGGACGGAGTTGATTATCGAGTGCAGGAAACTAAGAAAATAATTTAACAGAGGAAAGAGATGTGATTTGGCACATGATTCAGGGGAAAAAATAAAGGGAAGAAGAGGGAAGTTGAGATTTAATCTCGAGGACTAGTCCTAGTTTCATTCAGCGTCTCCACTTTCCAACGCCAACGACTTGTTCTTTTTGTTGTTGGGTTGAGCGGGTCACCCGCGCACCGTCCACAACCCACCCGCCACCCGACGGATGCCTTCCATCACAACCCTTCACCCACCCATATAACAAAATTTGGGTAAAATATAGTTGTATTTGAGAATGAGAGATCTAATGGTGAGTATTATAAACGAGTAGAGAGGGAAAAAGGAGGTATGTCCGAATTTTGGGTAGGCAGGCGTGAATTCATAGGTAGTTTTCAAATTTCCTACGAAAATTCAACAAACCATCGCGCATTCGTTTTACATTGAATTTCAACAAAGATTTGCGTATAAATATAAGGGTTTTTGTGCTCTACAAGATGATATCCATTTTGGTTTTTTTTAAGCCAAATTTTCCCTAGATCATCATATCAAGATCATATCGGTTCATATCATTCATATCAAGATCATATAATTTCAAATCAATATGATATCAGTTCATATCATTAATATCAATATCATATTAGTTCATATTATTTTCATATAAATTCATATACGCTCATATTAGCTCATTTCATTATCATATAAATTCGTATAAAGTTCATGTTATTCATATCAAGATCATATTAGTTCTATACCATTCACATCAAGATCATATTAGTTCATATCAATATCATATAGTCCATATGGTTTATATAAGTTCATTTAAAAGAATCATTGTGTAGATCTTAATAAATGTGTTCTTTCTATACAATTATTTTTTAATTTTGAGTTGAAATGAAGGAGATTGATCATCATATCACTGCTATATCATGATGATATGATTGGTATGATGTTAGTATGAGGCATTGTACTTGATATGATTGATATGTTAGTGATAATACTACAACCAACATGTGTTTTGAAGAGTTTTTATTTTTTTCTTTGCTCAAAATATAGCAAAATGGATATCAATGTGTAAATCATAATTAATGCGTTGTTTCTACCCAAATTTATTTTTAAAATTCGGAGTTAACGAATTCTGTAGGATCTGATTAAAAGAATATGAGATTAGAAAAAGTACATTCCTCTATCCTTTGAATTCGTGTCAGGCTGTCAGCAAAAAAAAAAAAACTAATTGGTGGCAGAATTACCAGTTCATTCCTCTTTTTTCACTTCTTCCGAATTAATGTGGACCATTGGATTTGTGAATTAAGAAATGAAGGGTAAATGATAGAATTTCGTAGTGTTTTTTTTAGGGAAGGATTTTGTACCCTATCCTTTCCCTTAATTAATTACCTACAAATCACCATAGTTAAACTAGGGCTGGGCATGCGGGCGGATCATCCGCGGGTTTGGACCGACCCACCTGCATTTGACCCGAATTTCGTTAAGTGGGTGGGTCTGTGGGTGGATGACGGGTTGCATTGGGAGCCATCCGCCGGGTGGTGGGTGAGTGTGCAGGTGACCCGCTCAACCCAACAGCAAAAAGATCAAAGTCGTTAGCGCTCGAGAGAGGAGAGTGGAGACGTTAGATATAAACTCGGACTGCTCCTGGAGTTTGAACCTCAAAGCCAACCTTCCAAATAGAGATCCCCTCTTCTTCCCTTTAATTTTTCCTCTAATTCTTGTGCCTAGATCACCGCTCTTTCCTTTGTGGAATTATTTTCCTTAGTTCCTTGCACCTAATAATCGTCTCAATCTGTAGAAAATTCTTTCATAATAGAATTTCTATCCAATTTAAGAACTAATTCGACATTTTTCGCCCTATTTCAACTTCTTGTTTCCCTCGATGATTCTCTTCACCTATTATCATGTCAAGTTGACTCCTTTATATTATATACATTGTGATGTGGGTGAACCCACAAACCCACCCGCATCATCCACCATCCGCCTGACCCAACCCGAGACTAAATGTGGGTGGGTGGTGGGTTAAAAATTATCAATCCGTTTAAGCGCGGGTGGATGCATTTTATAGTCAAAATCCACCCGACCCACCCAATGCCCACCCCTAAGTCAAACTATCCCCTAGAGTTTCTCAACTATTCCTTACATCCTCCCATCTTTGTACTAAACCAACCCCTTTCACAAACTATATATTCGAAAATAAAATGGACATGTATTATTATCAATGTTCTTTTAAGTTGGAGTTTTAGGACCGACCCTTTCCGATTGTTAGCCTTTTCCACGTAAACACAGATCTCCTGTTTAATGATGTGATTTTTTCTAACAAGATTTGTAACAAAAAATTTCAACAAATATTACAATTTTACAGTCGATAGAATCGCACAAGAGGAATATCCTCCCTCATCAGAATATTCCAATAGACTCTTTTTAATTACTCTTCATCACCCACCCTCACTCCCAATATAAACAACACCACTCCAAATCAGCACATCAATCAGCAATAGCCACCATAAGACAATTAGCAACCAAAAAAACCCAACCCGAATCCATCATGAGTTTAACAACGACGACGGCGATACTAATGACGATAATGTTGTGTTCATCATGGGCAGTAGTGGAAGGGCAGATCATAAGAACCGCCGACGTGACGGTGACCAACTTGCTGTACAGGCATCACTACCTGACGATGCATTGCAAATCGAAAGACGACGATCTCGGGGTCAGAGTGCTCCCAAAGAGGGGATCTTGGAGCTGGCATTTCGTCCCGAATTTTTGGGGCACGACGCTCTTCTTCTGCGCGTTCAAGTGGGATACCAGCAACGGGCTACATTGGTTCGACATTTACGTCCAGAAGAGGGATCAGGATCGTTGTTCTGATTGCAGGTGGATCGTTACGCAGAGAGGACCTTGTTGGTACAACGCCACCTCCGGTGGTTACACGGTTTGTTACCCTTTTAACAACAACCTGGCTAGGTTAGGGTGAAATTAAGAACATTTGGTAGTTAAAGTTAATGTTGGTTACAAAATCGTTAAAAAATGATGAGTGGGGTGGCATTTTTTTTTTGTTTTTGATTTCTTCGTGATTAGGTCAATTCTTCTCGGGCCTAATCAAATCACTATTGAGCTGAGCTCATGCAAGGTTTCACATCTTTACGAAATAACACACAAGAGAGATGGAAAAAATTTCTAGCAGGAACCAAATTTGCCCTCGTGTCCCTAGCTACTTCCTCATCATTTGTAGTTTGTATTATGAGAGTACGTACTTAATTAATAAAGAAAGTCATTTCTCCTTATTACATTTTTCTCGTGTGTTCCGGAGTAATTATTTCATGACGAGAAGATATATGTACCGCGACACTTTTTCCCCAAATAGTGCAGGGTTCTAAAGTCGCATTTTTATACGTCAAAATAAATATCGGACGATCTAGCTGGGGACCGACGGTTTCTGTAGATGTCACGGTAATATGCCTCTGTATTATACATTTTTCTTCAACACATGCCCCTCTGTTATTTTTTAGATCAAACATTTCCCTGTACTTTGAAAGAGTTATCAAACATGTTTGTTTGTAAATTTTTCATAAAAAAAACCATCAATCATGGTCGAACTTTGGTTAGAGCGACATAAATGCCTACTATGTTCCTAATAAATTTCACTAGTCACATTTTTTTTCTTCTTCTTTTGTATATCCCAATTAATAATTTCACTTTAACGAGACTTGCAGAAATAAATGAAGGGGCAAAACTTGAAATTTCCTCTCATTTTGCCGAGGTCAGGTCGTCCGAACCATGGTTGACCATTTTTGGATGTAAATATTAATAGAATGACATGTTTGATCATTTTTTCAAAGTACATGAGCATGTTTAATGTAAAAAATAGTATATGAACACATTTGATAAAAATATATACTAGAAGGACATATTATACCTAATAATATTTTCATACAATTAGTTGGCATTTCAAATATTTGTCGGGGTTAGACTACACCGATAATTACACATGTTTAAGCGATGTTTAAAAATGTTGATCAAAGGGTTTTCTCTGCCGTTCAAGTGAAAATAAAATTTAATAAAGGGAAACAACAGCCAAAATCGAGATAAAAAATGTAACATTCGAATTTGAAAAAATATATATTTCTTTACTGTACTAAACCCATTATTGTAGGTGTTGACTTCATTTAACTAATCAATTGGTTTGCAATATATAGGGTTAGATTATACACTAGCTAAGATAGATTCTTAATAAAGGGAAGCATACACATAAATATATTTAGTTCGTTGTACATGATGATTCATTTTTCTTATGGTCTTATTGTTCTTCCTTACCATAATAATGTCGTGTTCTATCAATTATTTAATTTGGTTGACCACTACCGTTGTTTATTTTATCATTAGATCACTCGAGTCATCGAGAAACATAGATCAAGTATGTCCATACATCGTACTGAACCAGGATGTGAAATCAAAACCCATTAAATTTGGGAATAAATAAAGGGCCTTTTTCGTCACCAAATGAGCCGCCCTATTACAATCTCGTCCAAAAAAGACCACATCAAAAGACTAGAAGAACCCACGCAACATTGCTAACTCCGCAAGGACTGCGTCCCACCTCTAGCATCAGAAACACATTCTTTCCTCACCTTATCCAGGACATCGTTCGCATTCCCAGCAAAGACAGTCCGAGTAAGACCATACAACACGCACCAATAGAAGTTTGTCAAATCACATCAATAGTTTTGTTCATGTATCATCCGAAATAGAAGTTTGTCAAATCATATTTAAAGTTAAAACATTTTACATTATCCAGTCACACACTATAGTCACATGATCAAAATTCCGGCGATAGACTTTGTAGTGGCTATATATAAAAACAAGTTTCGTATGTGTTAAGGATCAAGGTATCTAAGTAACTCAAATTGATGAAATGCATGCGAATGTAGATCTCACAATATGTTATGTTTTATATTATTGACGATTTCGATCCTGATCAATGACTCTTCCAACTTCCATATTGGTTATCGTATTTATACTATACTCCATATACTCATAGCTCACACCCACGAATTTAAGAAACCTAGTAAAGCAACATAATTTCAAAGGCTACTAATTAAATGTGTAACAAGTTGTGCGGAAATGCTTCCACTTTCAAGTTGCACGTTTAGTTTAATGTATTTGTTGTGTCAATCATGCGATCAAATAAGGTGGGGGCATTAAAAAAATATAACACAAGGTAGGAAAAAATTAAAAGGTTTTGGTGTGCCCAATAAAAAAATTACAAATAATCTTTGGTTGTTGGTAATGAAAAGATGACAGCTAGTTGCTAAAAGAATCCAAAAATTAATGGTATTAATTATGCATAAATATAGGAGGATTAGATTTAGATGATTAATTTAATACACTAATTATTAAAGGCAGCATAAGACCCGGTCATTAATCAACGTACCCTTGGTTGATTAATGATTCCCGCACCACATATATATGCCTATTATTTTGTTGATAAAAAACATTTCCCTTTTCATTTGCTTTGTCTTTTTCCCCATTTTTATGTTTCCTTAAAACTTCTTTATTACATTATGGTTTCCTATATTTCTTCCGGAATCTTCCCTTCAATGATTGGCATCATAAACCAAAATAATCTTTGAGGTTACAACTTACAAGTATTTCAAACCATCCTTGCCAAAGTGGGGAAATTTTGTACCAAAATTCACATAGCAAAGTCGGGGTGATATCGGCAGATTGACAGTTACATCATTAAACTAACTGATTATCGATAGTAACTATATTAGCATTAATCGATTATAAATTAGTGGTACTGTTATCGATAGATTGAAATGGCTTTTGATTTAATCGTGAATCAACTACCCGATTAACGGCTAATAAACTAACAACTAATTGAGTATAAATATATATGTTTATATGCACAAAAGGGTATGTCCCTCCCAAAAAAAAAAAACTCTCCAGCTTCAAATGAACAATCTCTTCCTCATTCGGACTCGAGCTTCTTCTTTCCTCCAATTTACTCCATGTGTGAACCCTAAAATTGAAAGAGGCAAAGAGCTAGCATCACTAACTTTTCGATTGCAATGTAGGCATCAAGGTTGGGTTGGGAAGATTAGATGGCTTCCGTTGGAGGAAATATTGAAAAAATCACACACCAATATCATTCCATCAATAGCTTCCCTCACCAGTTCACACTTATCAATCTTCTCATTCCTCTCTTTGCTTCCTTCTCTCAGTACCAATAGGAATAACAAATCAAACCCAAATCACTAATGCTACCTCTCTCCAAAGACCAGGCCACCATTCAAATTCTAACCTACCTCCACATCGAAACCTCTCAATCCCGCCTCTAAAATGTAGGGGTGTAGAGTAAAAACTGAGCTAATCTTCTGCATTTGTGCGTTGGAGGTGATGGTGGTAGAGCGAAAGATTCCAATAAGAGAAATTTTCAAAAACTACCAGATAATCGATAAATTATTGCGGACTAACTGCTATGAATCACTTGTTAACTAGTTAGTCGATTAACCGACCAACATAAACAGTACAATTAGTTGTAAGCATAAATTGATTAATGATTAACTGATAACCGGATAAATGTTTAGGGTTATAACAAAATCGAACCGACTAATAAGTCTATAACAAAGCTCCCAGACCAATGTCTACTATCTTTAAGTAACTCCAGTCTGTCTTAACTCATTGGTCTAACTATATTTGCCATATATGTATAGCCATTTGATTCTTTAGTATACATTTCTTTGATCATTGGCCAAGTTTCTAGTTACCTACATAATCATTAGGTCAAATCCCTTACATTATAATTAGACACGTTTGATCACCATGATACCTAGCACTAGTACATATATATATATATATATATATATATATATATATATATATATATATATATATATGGTCTAAATTGTACTTTTTATACATGTTATTAAGTATAAAACCAAAGAGGAAAACGTACAACCAATCTTTGGTCCATATTTAATTATATGCTAAAAAACTCAACCTTTCATAGCTTATTAATTAATTAGTAACCAACCATATGATATGTAGGTACATTTGACAGCATTACATTACTAAACTCAGCCAGGTATATATATGTTGCAAAACTGAAGTTTTTATTAAATTAACAACTACCCAAAAACCATATATGTGTTTAGAATATGTGCAAATAGGGAGTGAGCTACTTTCATGCATGTAATAGCTATCTAAGATGATAGCTACCTATCTTATAACAGTTCATCGCCTTATGAATCAACTCATTCGTTCGCAAAGACAAGATGGAATGTGGCAAACAGAAGTTTGATTTTGCGTAGTACATTTGATTTAATATGGAGATTCAAGGTTCGAATTCATGATTTTCTATCCCTTTCCCTGCAAACCCATTCTTTAATAACTTGTGAGAGTTACTTGGGATAGAAAAAAGACTTTCTTAATGTGATGTACCAATATGAGATAAGTAGAATCTCTGTTGAGGGTAGAATAACAAAATATACATTAATACTGGAGCATACTGCATATATGAGACCAAAAGTAGATGAAATGCGTGTTATCATTCTTAATTTGAAACACATATATGTGATTAAACAAACATAAAATTTAGCTACCCTTTGTTGTTGTTGTTGTTGTTGATGATTATCATTCCTGAAAGTAGCTACCTAACTTCCCATGAAAAGTACAATATAATTTTATTCATTAACTAGGTAATAACCTTTTGATCCAGACTTTAATATGTAGTTGCTACAGAGCAAGAGCAGTATATTTTTCTCCCCATCCCTATATCAAAAGGGAGGAAGGAAACTACTTAAAAAAAATATAATTGCGGTCTTTTCATTTTTACTGTCGTCGGTGATATTCTCCTTAACATTCTAACTCGCATATTTTTTTCCATCCAATTCTCATTAGATCAACCCTTTGAAGCTAAAATTCAGTCAAATATTATACGCGAGAGGAAGGATCGAGTATGAAATTATGTTT